TGAGCGTAGGATTAGTTATGCCACGTGTAGCTGCTGTTTTCATGAAAACTTAATTTCGAGATTTGGTCCCTATATAATGACTTTACCTCTTATGGTGCGTTTGGTTGGCATAAAAGTAATGGAATTTGAGGGAAAGGGATTCCAATTCCCTCGAATTCATGTGTCTGTTAGGCTATTCCTAAAGGAAATAAATTTTCTATCAAACTTGGATGGAAAACATTCATTCTCATAAAAAAAAAGTGACAAATTATAAAAATACCCTCAAGGAAAGTTTACAATTACCATTATACAAACGTATACAACCCTATCTCACGTATACAACCCGTTCGTCAAAATCAGTTCACAAACCTCGTTTCGTCAAAATCAACCTCTTCTCTGATTCTTCTGTCAGGTAAGTGAATTGTTGTTGCCTCGATCTAAATCTCGCTATTTCTCACGCTCTTAACTTACTGTCAAAATCTAGGGATGTCAACGGGGGCAAACGGGGTGGGAAGTGCATCTCCCGCCCCCGTTCCCGAAATTTCCCTGTTCCCCCACCCCCGCCCCCACCCCCGGAATGTTCAATGTTCCTACCCCGCCCCCGTTCCCCCGTCCCCGATTGATTTTGGGCTACTTTTTTTATGGGCTAAAAGAAGTTGTTATTTAGGCTAAAATAAGCTATTTTTTATGTGACATCCCCAAAATCACGGCCAGAAAAGACCGATTTTGTTTATACTTTATAAAAATTAGAGTACTTCATTTTATAAAAAGGTTGCGGAATTTGTTCCCAGAAAAACATGGTAAATACGTTATTAAAACATTTTCGAAGAAACGTATTTATTTCATTTTAAAACGTTTGGGATGTCATCGTTAATACAAGAACATAAGCATAAACAGAACTTACAATTATTCACACTAGTGGTCTACATCTCTTTAAATCTCTCAGTGTAATGTCACTTCATATCAACACCTGTGATATAAATAAACTGAGTGGGTCAGGTTGGGAAACCTGGTGAGCACATAGGGATTTCAATCCCACAATGTTATACCATATATATATAGTTTAAAATTCACAAAATATACAATTTCACCATACATATATATAAACAACTCTTATCCCACCCCGTCGATCCTCGCAACGAGGCTATCCATACTCTCGGACCTAAGATTAGTCGTTTTACCTACTCCATACTCTCGGATCAGAAATGAACGAATTTACCAAATCCATACTCTCGGACTAGGGACGAATGACTAATCCATACTCTCGGATTAAAGATGAATGATTATGCCTAATCCATACTCTCGGACTAGGGACAATAGTTAATCCATACTCTCGGATTAACGACGAATGATTATGCTTAATCCATATTCTCGGACTAGGGACAATGACTATGTCTAATCCATACTCCCGGATAAGTGACATATACTAACTTCTATTTTCTGAGTTTAACTCACTTGTACTCGTAAGAATATACTACCCAATATTCCTCATATTTAATTTAGGTCTACTCTTTATCCTAAATTATCAAATATAATCAGGTATGTTCTTTAACACGAATTTCAAGCAACATCAATTAACTCGCACATAAACATATAATTAATACTTCAATCAATACTTGTATTAAAATCATGTTCATGAAAGGTACTATGCACTCACCTGAAAGGTGGTGACTCGGTACTCGGACAACGCTTCGTTTACTTTAAAATAATTTCCTTTGACGAAACCTAGTATTATCACCAATAGATTTTAGTCTATTATTCGCCGAGACTAATTAATAGTCTAGCTATTATTACTATTATATAAGCGTTAAAAAAAATACTTATATAACCCATAATAATAGCCCAAGTATTTATTATATGTTCTTAATAACGTTAATATAATTAAATAAAAACTATATTAAAAATAGTGTATCCATAGCTCACTTACAGCGGGTTTTATAGAAAACCAGGCTTTGCTTGGAGCAGCGTTTCCGAGCCGAAAATCTCTTCTTCTCGAAGCCGTCGATCACTCCGGGGCTTCCGCCTCGTGCTAGGGAGGTTCCCTAGGCTTTTCGGGGGATTTCGGGGCTAGAGAGAGGTTCTAGAGAGAGAGTAAAGAGAAGAAAGAATGGGAAAGGTGTTAAGAAAATGAGGGTGGGAGAGGTGGTATTTATAGGGTGAAAATGGCTGAACTTGGTGCCACATGTCACCATCTAGTGGCAAGACTTGGGGAGAAAGCAATGGCCAAGATTGTGCCACATCACCCATTTTCGCACAACACACTTCCGCCTTCTAAAATCCGTAACTTTCACATACGACCTCCGTTTTTGACGTTCTTTATATCCACGCGTAGGTAAAAATAATATCTACAACTTGTATTTTGACTCCGTCGGCTAATTCTCGACCGATCTTAAATTTAACAGTACGAGGCGTTTAGACTGTTAAATGACCGCGAAGAATTCGTAACTCCTTCATACGGACTCCGTTTTCGTCTGTCTTTTTACCGTTGAGTTCCTATTAATGAGATCTTCAACTCTCATTTATTTCACGTAAGCCAAAAACCGCTCGAACTAAAATTCGAGTTTCGGGCTGTACACTGCTAAGCCGAATCTTAGAAAAATCATAACTTCCTCATACGAAGTCAGATTTGGGCGTTCCTTTTATTGATGCTCTTAGTTTAACATATTCTACGACTTTTGTTTAGATTGCTAAGGCTAAAAAGTCTTCTATCGTAAATTCACTATTTACGTCTTCCGGTGCCGTGCCGGTTTTGCCGTAAAACTTCGGCGGGCCATAACTTCTTCGTTATAACTCGGATTTCGGCGTTCTTTATATGTACGAAAACCTTGTGACATATTCAAAAACTTGGTTAAGACTATTCATTCTAAATAATCTTTTGTCTAAAAGTCATTTTTGACCCCTATTGCCTCTAAATTGACTAGCCCGGATCTGCGGACGTTACATTTTAGGTAACAAATAATTATTTATAGCAGAATTTTATATGTTAAAAATAAAAAAGTTATGGCATTTTAAAAAATTATACTAACAACTTAAAAACATGTTTTTTGATGAATTTTGAAAGCTCAAAATCATGTTATTGTTTATTATATTTATATAATTAATATATGTAAATATATGTGTAATTTATTAACGGGGTCCCCATGGGGATTTCGGGATGGGATTGCCTACCCCCGCCCTCGCCCCCGAAATTAAAACGGGGGTTAACCTTGCCCCCCGCTCCCGATTTTTTTTTAAAAAAAATCCCCCAAACGGGATGGGGCCCCTATGGGAACGTGGTCCCACGGGACTTTTTGACATCCCTATCAAAATGGATGGTTTCTTAAAATTGGTTTACCTTCCTGTTTATTGATTTTCTTTCCTGTTATCTCAACCTCATATTCTGAAAATCAATTTCTCTTCCTGTTTGTCAATTTCTATTAGTTGAATGCTTGTTAAATTCGTTGTTGTTATCAACATTCTGTCAAAATCAATGGTTTCTTAAAACTGTTGTTACTGTTTATTGAATGCTTGTTAAAATCGATTTCTTAAAATCTTTGTTGCTGGAATAGATTTCTATTTTTGTTAACTGAATGATTGTTAAAATCGTTTTCTCTTTCTGTAATCTCCTTTTTATTTCACAGCAACATTGTGAAATTTGATTGTGCTGTTTTTGTTATACAAATATGAGTTTTACTGCAAACGTAAAAGGCGTGTGAAATCTCAACTTCCTTTTTGTTATTACTGAATTTAGAAAGATTGGTAACAAAATTATGCTCTTGTTTATTGACATGAAAAAATGAAGAAAAAAAATAACATGTAGAAGAATCTTGAACATGAAATGGAAGTTGCTAAAGATTTTGTTTCATATTTGGGTTTCATTTGTTGAAGAAATATAAAAAAAATAAGTTTAATGGTATAGTAAATTAAAAAAAAAAAATACTATTTTATAATTTATATAATATATATTTATAACTTAGAAAACAAAACAAATTAAAGCAAAATAGACAAAAGGGTAATTCTGTAATTTTATATGAATTTCAATTTTATTTCCTACAAACCAAATATAATATAAAATTAATTCTAATTTCATTACCTGCTAACTAAAAAACACAAAAATATATGAAATTAAATTCAAATTGGTGACATATTATTTTTGAATTTCAATTCAAATTACTAAATTCTACTAACCAAACAATACTTTATATGAATCTGTTGAACACGTGGTATTTTTGTGAATATGTTTAACTTCATATATACTAGGTATGAGATCCGTGTATTACACGGGTTTATTAAAAATAAAAATTTAATATCAATATTTAAACTTTAAATTTAAAATCAATATCAATTTTAGAGCTCTTATTCATTATGATATTTATTACATTATAAATATATCAATTCTTTTTAAATGAAGTATTTATTTCTTTCAATATTGTAATCGAAATAAGTTGTGATATGCGAACAAATCAAAAAATTACATATGAAAATAAATAAATTTTAAAAATCTATTAAAATATCATGTATCCAAATCAATAAATTGCGTGCGATTTAGTCATTTAGGAGTAAATTACACGAATGGTCCCTATAGTTTGGGGTAATTTGCACGTTTGGTTCCTAACTTATTTTTTTAACTCGGAAGGTCCCTACTGTTTGTTTTTGTTACGCACTTGGTCCCTAATGTTTGTTTTTGTTACACGTTTGGTCCCTATCTTAGCTAAAAAGACTTGTATTTAAATAGGTAAAAATGGTGGGGTAGGTAAGATAGGGTGAAGAGTGTGAGATTGGGGGTGTGTTTATTTAAATAAATCAAAAAATTCAAGGGTAAAATAGTCTTTTTAGGTAAGCCAGGGACCAAGCGCGTAACAAAAACAAAAAGTAGGGACCTTCCGAGTTAAAAAAATAAGTTAGGGACTAAACATGTAAATTATCGTAAACCATAGGGACTATTCGTATAATTTACTCGTCATTTAGAGAGATAGAAAAGTTAGAACACGCGTGGACCCCATTTAAGACGCATAATGCACCCACGGAAATCCCACCCCACCCCTACCCCTCACCCGACCCGCAAATCCCTTCACACGTTCGTTGCCCGCAAGACCAAAACGGAACGGGAAAGAGAAATTAAGCCACAACAGAACCTCCAAATTCCTGAATTTCATATATTTAATCGCCGAAGATGATCGTTGTCTTCTGGTAGATAATTCAGATTTTCAGTTTATTTATCGGCAAATATGAACCAGAAGGCCAACGTATCCAAGGAGCTCAATGCCAAGCACAAAAAAGTATTTCTTCATTTCATGTCACCTTTACTTTTACCTCTGGATTTGATGCTTGATTTCTTGGATCATGATTTTTTTTTTCTTTTGGTGCTCTCATTATTCTTATATTTGATATGGGACTTATTTATTGACGACATTGATGTGTGATAGCATCGAAGATCTGCAAGTTTTTTTTTAAACATGAATTTAGATTATCTATCTTCATAACAACATTATGATAGCTACATTCTGCGGATGAATGCTACGGTTTGATACTTGATGCATATTTGGAAGGGTACCAATTACCAAATCATTGGTGTTTTATGATCTCATATTTTCCTGCATGGTCGATTATCTAAATCCTGCAGAACCTGAACCAAACATCTGTTTGTATTGATTTGGCTTTTCCACATCTCTGTCTTCGCCTAGAAATCTGTTAGATTTAAGACAATACATTGCTTTTCTTCTCTCTCTCTTTTTAATCCCTTTCCCTTGTTTTATACTTCCTATTTCATCTTCCTCGCATCTTGTTGCTCCAGTAATCTTTTAATGCGTCCTATGAATTGATATTTATGCAATGCTTGTCTACAGATTCTTGAAGGGCTTCTTAAGTTGCCAGAGAATAGGGAATGTGCTGACTGCAAAGCTAAGTATGTGTTCACTTCATGATACCTCTGGGCCTAACATTGGGTTATTGTCAAGTTATCTTCTCTATATGCCACTTCTAATCCTGGCCTTTGACTTGGCAGAGGTCCTCGATGGGCTAGTGTGAATCTAGGCATCTTTATATGCATGCAATGTTCTGGAATCCACAGAAGCCTTGGGGTCCACATATCAAAGGTACTAATCAGATATTTGTCATTTATATTACTTGATAGAAACAGAAGTCTGTTTTTTTTTTTTGCATTATTTACTGACAAATGGCATTGCAGGTGAGATCTGCTACACTGGACACATGGCTACCCGATCAGGTTGCATTTATCCAGTGTAAGACAGTTCATTTTCTAGAGTTTCTAAATATGTTTTCACAAAGATTTAAAATTGAATAATAAGTAGACATTCATTGTGTATCCAGCAATGGGAAATGTGAAAGCAAATAGTTACTGGGAAGCAGAACTACCTCGAAACTATGACAGGGTTGGCATTGAGAACTTCATTAGGGCAAAGTATGAAGAAAAGAGATGGGCTGCTAAAGATAGAATACCCAGTTCGCCCTCGAGGTTTCAAGAAAACAAAGCCCCTATACAATTTCAGAAACCTACTGAAAGATCAAGTCCATCAAACGAAAAGAAAATCTTTCAGACACGTGTCACAAAAACCAACATGCCTACTACAAAAATCAGTCTCCCTGTGCCTCCAAAAGCATCTGAACCCGTATGTCAAATTTCTTAGGACTTGTTGGAAGGAATTTTTTTTTTTTGTATGATAATATGGTAATCTGTTTTTATAAACAGATAGTTGAAAACTTTTAACAGGTGATACGGAAAGCTGAGTCAGCAGGCTCATGTGGTGAGGTGGCAAAGGAGAATGCTGAAGTTGTCTCTCCTCCTAAAGTTGAGGTTGCAACTGATCTTTTTGACATGCTTTCTATGCATGATTGCTCTGCTGATAATGGGTCAGTAGCAACTCCTACAGATGATATGTGGGCAGGATTCCAATGTATGTCCTTTGTTACCTTTACCTTTAATTAAATCGGTTATCCTTATAAATGGGTTAAAACTAGAATATTAACTTAATCTGGACAAATATATATATATATATATATATAGTGATGTTTCTTTTAAACTTAATATAAAAAGATGAGCTTAAGGCCTGTTTATTTTTCCCTCATTAAGTCCTGTATTGGTAAAGTGGTAAGTGGGTAAATGATGTCTGTATGGAGCAAGCGTTGTATTTATAAAGACCATTTCTTCTTTTAAACTGAATGAACCATCTGAATAATAGTAAATGACAGTTTTACCCTTCTGTATAAAAAGTCATGTTAAACATCTTAAAAACAAGCATTATCAATACGTTAAGTTGAACATAATATTAAATTACAAACATCATTAACAAATTTTTTTCATCATCATTTCTAGACAGAAGGGTAAATTGGTCATTTTTTCATATTCAGATTGTTCATTCAGTCCAACAACACTAACTCCAGACAACGCTAAATGAGGGGGAAAAAAGAAACAATATTTCAACTTTTTTATTTGTGAGGTAAATCAAATTTTGATTTTTTTTAAAAGGAAGTATAGTAACGTCTGACGATCTAAATAAATGGAAATGAAAACATCTGATATAGGAACGGAGGGGTAATTATGTAATTCCATGATTCTAACCATCTTGCAGCTGTTGGAGAAACATCGGCTACAGGGACAAGAAGCTCTTCAGAACCTGCAGATAATAACAAAGTCAAATCCACTTCTGAAATTGAGGATTTATTCAAAGATTCGTCTAAATCTCCAATGTCACAAAATAATAATAATAATAATAATATTAATAATGCATCACCATTAAAGCCTCAGAAGGATGTTAAAGATGATATTTTGAGCCTATTTGAAAAGGGCAATAATACAAGCACACCATATACTCTTCATCAACAGCAACTTGCCATGCTGGCACAACAGCGACAGCTGCTCATGGCGGCTGCAGCTAAATCTGGCGGCTTACCTAAATTTCCTGAAAACGGGCAACAGCAAGTGGCGGCTGCGGTTGGTGGTACAAATTTGCCACCCAATCAGAGCTGGCCAAATGTTGGCTACCAAATTCCTGGAACTGGAATGATGATGCCAACTGTTGGAAAAGATGAAGAAAAATATTTGCAGGAGGTAAAATTCATGAATCATTTTTGCAATTATTGATTTATGATCCATGAAGCTATCAATTTTTTTTTTTTGCAGCCTAGTTTCCTCTTTAGAATAAATTACATTTTTGGTCCATGAGTATAGCTAATTTTTTCAATTTTGGTCCCTTATTTGAGGTCTTTGTAATGTTTTTTGGTCCCTGTATCAAGTAAAAAGACTATATTTTTTTAGACCAAAAATCAGCTATATTCAATGACCAAAAACAGTCAATTTACTTGGAACAGGACCAAAAACCTTAGAAGAACTTCAAATAAGGACCAAAACTGTAATGGGACCAAAATTGCAAAACCAGTTATATACTCAGGGATCAAAACTGTAGTTGTTTCTTCCTACTATGCTCTTTCTGGATTTAAATGTATGACTAAATTACAGATTTGGTCCCTGTGTTTAGTTGTCATTTTTGGTTTTGGTCCTTAGTGGAGGGATTCATAAGGCTTTTGGTATCTGTTTCCCCTCATCTGATTTATTTAATAATTTTTAATAAATACTTAATGTTAGTATTATTAGTATATTAAAGTGGCTCCACCTATAATAATAATATTATAAAAAGTAGAAATTATAAATTTGTAACAGAATCAGATAAGGGGTGAAATAGTCATTTGTAAAAGAATCAGAGAAGGGGTGAAATAGTCATTTGTAAAAGAATCAGAGAAGGGGTGGGTACAGGGTTCAGAAGCCTTATGAAATCCTCCAAGGACCAAAATTGCAAAAAAAAAAAAAACAGGGACCAAATTAGTAATTTAGTTATGATGTTTGTTTGGTTGCATGCTGATGATTGAGTTTGGTTGATCTTGTGTTGAACTAGATGAAAAACATGGGAGCAGCAAATTCAGGTGGACAGCTTCCAACTTCCAGGTATGGTCTACTTATGTTATGTATTGGACAAGTTGCAGGAAATCGCAAATATACTTCACTCTTTTTCACCAAAACAGGCATTCTACTTCAATTTTTTACCCTTAAATAATAGCAACATATTACACAAAATAACAACCTGCTTACATTTTTTTAACCAATGCTGTCAATATTAAAATTGAAACTTGTGAGCCTTAAAACAAGTATATGTTCCTATCTATAGTCATGCTCCAAACAAATTGCTATTAGGGGTAAAAAGTTGTAAGTACATTTCCCAGATTAGTGGTGAGAGTAAAGTGCGTTGCTATTTCTCTACATACCATGTTTTTGTTGAGATATCGGCATTAATCAACTAATTTCTTTTTTTTTTTTTTTGCAGCTTTTACAACATGGGGCAAAATGCAAGTACAAATGGGATGGGGCAAAATCAAAATTCTTTTAACAACATGGGAGTGGGAGTGGGATCATCAAAGAAGCCACAATCATCAACTACTCCAACATCATCATCTCTATCTCCTACACAGTCTGCCAAAGACTATGATTTTTCGTCCTTGACTCAAGGCTTTTTCTCAAAACCATGACCATCACCTTTTTTTCTATGCAACTTCTATCATCATCATCATCATCATCATCATATATATATATATATATATATATATATATATATATATATATATATATATATAGTTTACCATGAAAAGTATTCGAAAATGTAAACTAATTGTAGAAAACTTTTTTTTTCTACTTATTTTCATTCTCATATATCAGGGGAAATAGAAATTAGTCGGGCATAGTAGTAAAGAAACTCTCTTTTTGTTTTTCTTTTCCTTACTCTTTTTTTTTTCCGAATAAATTCAATTCTGGACATAATAATTACACGTTACAAGCTTTTCAAGTTAAAAAGCTCTAACTAGATGATTGATTGCTTTGGTGAATATCAAAACGATCTATTTTGATGAGAGGAATAGTTGTTTGTGCATTGATGCTGTGGGTTGGTTAGGAATGTATGTGTCTGGTTTTTAGGAGCTTTGTAGGTAGGTAGGAGGTATGCTCTTGAGTCTTGAGTCTTGATGATGACACAAAAAATTGCAATGTTTGTTCCATTTACATCAGTAGTTTCAGCCAGTCCTAATCCAGTGCACTCGAACATAGTAGGCTGTGTTTTGTTTTGTTTTGTGCTTTCCAAATTAATACTATATTCCCAACTAGGGCTGTAAACGAACTGAACGTTTGACGAACCGTTCGTGAATTGTTCGGTGGAAAGTTCGTTTATGTTCGTTTATTTAATAAATGAACGAACATAAATAAAAATTATCGTTCGTTTAGTTAAACGAACGAACATGAACAATGGTCTCGTTCGTTCATTTATGTTCGTGAACGTTTGTTTATGATGTTTGTTTACGTTCGTTTATGTTCGTTCGTTTAAGTTTATTTATATTCATCTATATTCAATTAATTTTTATTATATTGCTATATTATATGTTCGTTTATGTTCATGTATGTTCAATTGTGTGTGTTTTTTTTTTTTTTTTTTTTTTAAATCTTTGTTCGTTTATGTTCGTTTAGCATGTTCACGAACATAAATGAACGAACATGAACAAAGTAATTTGTTAAACGAACGAACATGAACAAGAAAATTTCGTTCGTTTATCCGTTCGTGTTCGTTTGTTGTTCGGCTAACTTAAATGAATGAACATGAACAAAGATCTTGTTCGTGTTCGTTTGGTTCGTTTACAGCCCTATTCCCAACCAATCCAATCATTCATAAATAGAAAAAAGCTGATCTCATCGAAACATAATGTTAAAAAAATTTGTATTACCTGCGTTATCCATCCAACCCAACCCAACGTACTATCAAATTAAACAAATTCTTATAGTTAACTTTTATTCTGAGTATTACAACTCAAAATATATATTAACTATGCATTTCAACATCCGACTATAATGACTTAAAGCGATGTGATGGACTGGACAACAATGAAACTATATACAATGTTCTATAATTCATGTTGCATCCTTAAGCATACATAATTCACTATAATCAATCTAGTAATAACTACATCATCATGGTCATGGAAGTAGGTGGGAAAGTCTTGTCCAAAAGCGTATAAACACCACCACCCAACAGTAGCGCACCACTGCAAACAAAAAAGCTCAGCAATCAGCATGGAAGTACGTATATATATTTTAATTTTATTAATGGAAAAACAGAGCCCAATACGTCGATAATACTATGTTACCTCATAGGGTTAATCCATGCAGAGAACTTGCGGAAAGAGAGTAGACTCTGTACACATTAACACAATCAATAATGCCCACATGAATACTACTACTAGTACTCAAATATATTTTTAGAAAAAAAAAAAAAAAAGATCCAAGTCAAGTCTACTAAAATTAAAATATATACACTGTCACAATAGTATACCTGCAAGGCTCCAGCAAAGGAAGCAGCAAGAAGCAGAGGAGCAACATAGCCAGTTGTGTATGTCAACAGTAAGCTGCCACCTATTATGGGATCCTGTTTTCAACAACAACACTCAAGTCATCCTGTGAGACTGATTGTCTAAAATGGGTGATTGATATTTGATATTTGATAATGATACCTTCTTCTTACCTTGGATGCTGCAACATATCCAAGTAGGGTGGCAAGCACGGGAGTACTGCAAGGTGACGCAGCTAATGCGAATGTAAGACCAGCCAAATACGCTTGGACACCTGTCAAGTCAAAACGCTCACTTTATATCTTTAAGCCCAAAAAGAAATAAGATTTTTTTTTTTTTTTGAATTTAATTAGTTACTCGAAGGAAAATTAGCAGCTGCTGCACGTGGATCAAAGTTGTCCAAAAATGAAGGCATTTGTAGCTCTATTACCTATAATTAATAATACATTCATTATTAGCTGTATAATCAAAACAGTTAAGAGAGGGAAAACGACTTACTTCTAGAAGATTTAGACCCATAATAACCGCCAAACCGGAAGCCGCCAATGGTAAACCCTGGCCCACCTGTCCGTATGCCTTGCCAGCAAATGAGGCGGCTACACCAAGTAATGCTAGTGTTGTCGCCAAACCAAATGCAAATGCAAGAGAGTCGCCTACAATCTAATTCAAAAAATATATATATATATATATATATATATTTAATTTATATCAGACTCGATTATAAATAAAAAAAACCAATTACCAAACCAAACAACTCAATCATTTGTTATATTGGGTAACATGCAAAATAACAAAATGTACTTTCACCATTTTATCAATGTAGTCACTTTTTAACTACTGTCTGCAGTGAATTAAACATTTACACGTTTTTTATAGCTCAAAAGACGATCGAAAAAGTGTAATGGTTTAATCACTATAGAAAATAGTTAAATGGCAAAATCGACATATGGAAATTCTTGAATTTTATGTAAATGCAAAGCACAAGGTTAAAGGAGACAGGACAAAAAAAAAAAAAAAAAAAAAGATAAATAACCTGTGCTCTACTTTTTCCAGATCCAAATGCACCTAAATAGTTGCAACATGCCCACAGATCAGCCATCATCAATCAGAGGCAATTTTTATTTAAAAAAAATGTTTAAATTTAATGCTAGAAAAGTGATGTAGTTACCAATATAACCAAGGGTCAAAGGTAGAACACTTAGCGTGCAAGGGGAAAGGCTAGTCACTAGACCCGCACCAAATATAACTACCAAACTGTGAAAAAGAATAACTAGTAAGTATTAACTATCATATCAATAAATTTTATAAAATATATAAATCTGATAAAATGGTATTAGACATTGGATGAACCTAGTCAAACTTAGGGCTCCTAGCTGAACCTGAACAGCTTCATTTGCCTGCTGTCCAGCTGAATACATGAGGCCTCCAAACCAATCTCCAAGCCCTCCATCAGCTAAAGTGTATACAGAAGAAGCACTTCTTTCCTGATTTCAAAGACTTGATCTTAGAACAAGAACAACACGTTTGAACACGAGAAGAAAAGTTAATGAGAAAGAGTTCCTAGTACCATGATTGCGTCCATATCCAATGCGTGTGCAGTATGACTGGAAACCAAATTTGCTGCTGAAGCATCAAAAAACCAACATATATAATTAGTTTTGGTTTGATTACTGAAATCCCATTATTTTGACCCTATAATACGAATCATGATCAGATTCAATGCAACTTTAAATCACAGCAATCAGTTTGAAGGACATTGAAAACCCCCTTAAAATCAACATATCAAACAACGTAATCCAGATAGGTTAAAAATATTGGTGGATTTACAGATGTTCAGAAAATTAAACAGAGGAACAAGGTGATTCTAAAGCTTAATTTCTGTCGAGATAAGTACCTGAGATGGCGGTCGTTAGCGAGGTGATTCTCAAGCTTAATTTCTGGTCAATTTTCGAAGACGTCTGCATTTCTTTTGAGGAATCGTCTTTACTGAGCGATTTCTTCATCATTTTGACTGGCAGTACATATGTTCCTTTGATTTCAGAAAAGATCACAGATGATGTCATGAACAACAAGAGAAAAGTTGATATGATCGTATTAATTAGCAAATAGATGAGAAATAATAATAATAAGGGCAAGCAAAAGCAAGCCTAACTAACCAGATATGCTTCTCTGTGGGCGATGATAGCTTGAGATGAGGCCATATGGAGCTCCATGGGTGCCATAGTTTCCATTAATAATCAAATTCATAGCTGCTGCTTCTTCCTAGTTAGAGAGTGATATTCGTTGTAGAGAAAGGGGGAAGAGTCGAGTGCAGTCGTTACGTGAACCACATCTTATTTTAGCAACGGTCATTTTATAGGTGTTTGGATGCAAATTTCTATATATACTCTCTGTAACATAAAAATAGAGTGCAAATTTCTTCTAACCTGCTGCTACGTTGGTTGGTATTTCATATTTTAAGATATAAGATATGAAACCATAAAAGAGATTAACACCCGTAACAATTTAATATAAAAACACCAGTAACAATAAAATACAAAAATGTAAATACCAATTAATAATATAGTGAGAAATATTGACATTTTTAAAAGATAGTATTCATTGTAGCTATTAAAAATATTATAGTTATTGTGTTATGATAAAACATAATAATGATAAAAGAAAATATTATATATTTTAAATTTAAATTTTTAGTGTGGTTAGAATAAGAACACCATTTTAGTACTAAAAAGTCATCATTTTAGTGTTTTGTGGTTGAAATTGGCCTAAATTATGTTTGGAGTGTACACACAAACAATGATTTTCAAATCAAATATTTCCTGCCCTTCTATATATTTAGATTCCAGTTTTTTCATGTTTACCATAGACTTTTCCAATGCATTTTTAGATTCCAGTTTTTTCATGTTTACCATAGACTTTTCCAATGCATTTAACCTTGTTGACAGATCCACATTACTTCATGAGGTCAGATTTAGGTGCCCTTCTATATCCTTGTGGGTAGAATTCCTATATGATCAAGCAGCAAGGTTGTATTAGGAGACACGCATATTTGGTCTACTACTGGAGTTCAGCAAGGAAGCCTTTTGGGACCACTTCTCTTTGTCCTTGTGTTGCACCTGCTCTTGCATAATATTAGAGACAATTGCAAGCTTCTTCTCCATGCACAGTACCTTGATGATGACACACTTATTGAGTTATTGGAGATTCTAAAGAGGTGGCCAAAGTGTTAGACATTATTAAGGTTATTGGCTCAAAATTGGGCCTTCAGTTGAGTATCAAGAAAACCGAGCTCTTTTGGCCCTCATGTGATGGTAGAAAGCTGCGTGAGGGGCTATTCCCGCTAGGCATCGGAAGACCGCCATTATGGGTCAAACTTCTTAGGGAAGCTATTAGTAGAAATGTTATTTTCATTAGCAGCTTAGCCATAAAGAGAGCTAAAAACATTGTGAATTTGATGTACCTTCTTCCACAATTGTCTGGCTCGCAGAGTGAGCTCGTTCTACTTCAGTCTTGTATGGGTACTGCTAAAATATTCTTTAGGCTAAAGACATGTCAACCCAGACATAGGATAGAAATATTAGTTGGGAAAATGTTCACACAATCCAAAAGGTATCCAGATCTCAACATAAACCCTAATTCAACCTATGACTAAGCAACTTAATACATCTATAGTGGCCACAGGTTTGTACATCACCTTTGTTCTCATATATGGGACCACAATATGATTACATATATTTTAAATATAACAATCTCAAATTTTCTTTTATATTAAACAACAATTCACAAGGTTGTAATGTAAGCATCCCACACTTCAGACAATCTTGGAGCTCTTCAACCCGTTTAACTTGTTACCGTTTTAGCCGATATATTTCTACAATACCCATTTGACTCATTATCAACAAATACAACTTATATTGCCCCTTTTCATATAAATGGACTTGTAAACTTATACGGAACCAAATCTTCCATTTTCAAAGATCAAAAGTATCTCGATTAAGAAATTCTTATAAACCCAACAAGGGAAACTATTAGTATTATCTCACCAAAATAAGAGAGCGTCAATTTGTCTATGTTACACTCTACTTTCAAAGGGTAACCATTTAAAGTTTAAGATCAAAAATGCTTTCACAAGAACTGAAGATTATGATTTTAAGAAGACAGCAAGTACTCGAGTGAAGATCTTCTTCGCTAGCATAGACACATAAAATGCAGACTTGCAGGGATTTGCTGCAGGATGAATGTGCTTTTTCACTGCAAAAAATTTCAATATTCCCCACGTAAATTAACAGATTGACCAAAAATAATAAGCCATCCAAGTAAGAAATAGACAAATTTAACAAGACCTTACATTTCATCAATAGAACAAATTTTCATGAGTTTTTATTTTATAATATGTTAAAAATATGTAATTTTTTTAGCTATGAAATACGTTATTTAGTTTTAACTGGTAATTTTTTATTTACAAAAATAAAATAAACTCACCAAAACCCAAATAAGATTATAATAAAAAAAATATTTTTTCTAGATCAATTTTGAAAGTCAAATTGTAATTCAATTAAACTTTTAAATATTTTTATAAAAGATTCATGTCATCAAAACTATATAAATAAAAATGGTTTATACACTGGTGACCCTTTTTCATTTTTAATGGAACGAATCAATGAGCAACAATTCCATTCCTTCTCTGATTCCATCATGCCAAACACTACCAAAGAATTACGATTGTTTAGCTAAGTGATAACAGAGTTTTATTGCTATTTTAAGGACATTCCATACGTGTTTGGATTGTTGTATACACTGGTGAAGTATCCTATTAATGTTTCTCATAATTCTATAATTTGGTTTAATCATTACAAAAAATATATTATGTTTTGTGTTCATATCATTTAATATGACATACCTGATGAGCTGGTTTCGCAACTGAAGTCTTTCTAAATCCAATGGCCATCTTTCCCCCCGGTTCCACACGATAAAACGACACTAAAAAGAAAATAAATTATTGTATGTTAAGGCCAATTATAGCACTGCAGTTCAAAATTTCTTCTTATAATAATGATTATACTTTGGAAAAAAAACTATCGAGTTATAGCAGTAAAAATTTCTTTGTACTTGGATGACATTGCTATAATTGGGTAGATCTTTTCAGAGTAAGATGTTGTAATAGAAGCAAATGAAAGTAGCATATGCTATAATAAACAAATCAATGAAAGTTGATTGCTATTAATTTGCATGAAAGCATAATAGGAGAAATTACCTGTATCGCCTGCTTGTAATCTGCGTGAAAACATAAAATCTCTGAGGCCTTCTAAAACATAGGTTTTGCTACCACAATTAGGCCAATAGCGAAACGCAAACTCCCATTCTTTGCTTTCCATATCCAAAATATTCATCATTATCCCTTTTGGTGCAGAAACTTCCGGAAAAAATGCCTGCTCAATTATAATATAAAGTATAAACCTTTGTGGAAAAAAAAATGCTAAGAGAGTTTATACTTTATATTATATCACACCTCAGCGTATCTTTTTGGAATCACTATACGGCCCAACTTCATGTCAGCATCACTAGCAGTCAACACTTTTTCAAACAAAGGATTCAGAAAAGGTTTCACGCTGATGATCGGTTAAGGATTTTATAATGAAATGGCAGCGAATGGAATATTGAAAATTAAATAAAGATGAGAGAGGATACGTTTTTGAGATGCATTTTATGTCTGAAACAATGCCATCTGGCCAATAGTGAGGTTCAATCTGTATTCTCTTGGCAAGATCCGGTACGTCTGTTGGATCCGTTTGAAATTCACGCGCATATCGCTGATTTCGTGCCTATAATATTATTTTATTTTATTTTCAGTTTAATTTTAGTTTTAGCTTTTAGTTCAACAAGGAACCACATCTTTACACAGAACCATGTACAAAAAAGCCACCTCATTTTTGCTTCTTTTTTTTTGGTTAGTACACATGCGAATCACTCCCTTTGATCCAATATATATATACATAAGTAACGTTTTGATGGAATTGAGAGTGAGATCCATTCTGTCTTACCAGCTTTAGATTTTTCTTGGAACATTCTCTGCAAATCACCCCACCAAAGTCCAGAAGAAAATATTGATTGAATGACACAACACATCCACAATGGACTAACTGCAAATTAAGAACATGTAAGGTAAGGGTAACATGGAAATGGAAGAAGTGTAGTCTCGGAATTATACATTGTACGAACCTTTCCACAAGATTCACAGTCTCTCCAACCATCATCGTTTGAATGAAATGTTTCACAGAACCTCCCTTCTTCATACACACAGCTAAATTGATCAAGAAAAGAAGGTGTCAAGAACATCAGCACAAATTATCAGTCAACAGTCTCCGGATTTATTTATTTTTTTTTTTTTGCAGCAATCAACTACACCATGCAATTGAGCCAATTGAATTTAGAAACATGCTACAAATTGCTTGATACGCAAGTCAAGATTCCAATTAACAGATGTTAAGCAAAAAAGTCAGTGAATTTCGTCATACATGAGCTAACCGCTAATCACAGACCACATTGATGAGGAAAGCATCAGGCAGAGCACATCGAATTGAAGAACAAGAAACGAACAAAATTGAGCATTCAAATGACGAAGAATAAGAAGAAGGAGGAGGAGGCGAGGGTAGGGGGCTTACGCGCACTGATAGCAGAGGTGAGCGCGTTCTCCGTTACGGAGTCTCCATCCGTCTCTGAAGCAGTTGGAGGTTGAATCCTGGCACTGAAAGCAAGAGGCTTTTGATGATGAAGATGCCATTGAAGCTTGCAAGTTGTAATTACGATCAATAAACCCTAGAAAGAGAGGGAAAGGCTGTTAGAAAGAATATGGGGTTTGGGGTTTGAATGCCGGAAAACCACTCTTTTGTAGAGAGGGAACTTGGGGAATGTAATTTATTGCAGGCTCTTCGGTTGAGTGAGCAAAATAAATAGTATCAAGATTCAAAGACCCGAAAACTTGTTGGAAATGGAGCAATTTTTGTCAAAATTCATTGGAATTTAGTGTTGAATTTTCTGATTTAACTTCTGACTCTGAGCATAATTTTCTGACTTCTTAAAAGCAATTGGTTGACTGTCCTATAGATTTCTTCCTTTTTCTCTTGTTTTTTTTTATTCTGGATTGGTTCATTTGCTCATTCATCTTTTCTCTAGTCATCCTCATAGTGTATTGATTTAAAAATTGTAATTATCCAAGCAAAAGATACCAACTTTGTTGTATGTATCAAAATGTTGTCGATTAAGAGGAAGCATTAGATTAAGATGAAAATCATGGAAATGAGGATGTTGTGATGGACGTGAGGTAGGCAGGCAATTGAAAATTTCAATGCAATGATGTCGATCACTGAGAAATTGAGAAAAAACAAATTATTGTAGTTTAGACATGTTAATATGAGACGGCCGACAATTGTGGTTAGGAGGGTGGATACAGTCACTTTCGATGATGCAAGAAGGAGAGGACGGTCAAGAAGGAAGTGAGAAGATTGTGTAAGGTTGAACTGAAGGACTTTGCTCTTATGGGTTGCATGGGCTTAAAATCAATGTAGGTGAGTAGTCCATTAGTAGTTTAGGTATTACAGTCTTTTCCATTATTTGGACTTGTTGTACGATATTTACCGTCTTTCTCTTGTCTCGTGATTTCATCTTTACTTCCAGCCTTACGTGCTAGTATTTGTTTCATGCTTTATTGTTTGTATTCATTTTCTATGTTTGTGTTATATGTGGTATTTGCATTGCTTACTCTACCCCAATGTTTTCTTTCAACTTTGTGGTTTGTTACTTGTAACACCCATACTTTTATACAATAAAATAAAGTATGATTTTAAATACATTTTCTATCAATGAGCGCCATTTATCAAATTATGGTCCCAAAATTTCCAATTCATTTACAAATACATTTATAAAACTTTGATTCAGGTACTGCAAATGATACAAACAAAACCATAGTAGCAATAAATCTACTTATATTATAGCCATTTATCTAAGTCCAGTTTTTATCTATCGACTCGCTTCTATATGTCTTAGCATAGCCATTTATGCTTCGTAACCGTACATGTAACGCCCGTAGATCAAGGCTAGTCAATTTAGAGATGATAGGCGTCAAAAATGAATTTTTGATGAAAAATTATTTATAATGAATAATCTTAACTAAGTTGTAGTATATGTTACAAGGATTTCGTACATATAAAGAACGCCGAAATCCAAGTTATAACGAAGAAGTTATGACATGTCGAAGTTTCGCGACAAAACCGGCACGACACAACGCGACGTAAAAAGTGAATTTACGTTAGAGCGATATTTAGCCTTAGCAATCTAAATGAAAGTCATAGAATACGTTAAACCATGAGAGTGCATAAAAAGAACGCCCAAATCTGACTTCGTATGAGGAAGTTATGATTTTTCGAAGTTTCGACTTAGCAGTACGCAGCCCGAATGCTCGATTTGAGACCGAGCGGTTTTTAGCCGAAACAATCTAAATGAGAATTGAAGATCTCATTAATTGTAGTAAAACGATAAAAAGATAGGCGAAAACGGACGTCGGATGAAGAAGTTATGATTTTATAACGGAGTTTTCCTGTCCCGGCCTACTAAAAATAAATAATAAAAATAAAGTCAAAATTAGCCGACGGAGTCTAAACAAAATTTGTAGATTGTAGTCTCACCTACGCGTGGATATAAAGAACGTCGAAAACGGAGTTCGTATGAGGAAGATATGAATTTTTGAAGTATATTAAATATTTTCGATGTTTTATTTAAATATAAATTTTCGATATTATCCAAGGGGGGAGTCACCGGGATTATCCAGGTTACGCCCCGCGTAACCTACGATTACGCCCCACATAAATCGGCCTTCCAGCCCCTATAAAAGGTTGTCGAGGGTAGCCGAGTAGTTTGCTCATTTCTTCCCGTTTTCTCGCGTTTTTGCATCGTTTTTCGTGCAAGAAATATCTCGAAGCCCCGGTATCATTCCCGAGCCCCGAAGCAAGTCCCGAGGCCCCAAAGATCCCGAGAAGTGCAATTCCCGAGCCGAAGCTCTGCCCGCGAGGAGTCCGGTTTTTGTGAAGATCTTCCAAATCTACCGAAGAATACTACTTCTACAAGCCGTAGTGTTGTCCGATCATCTTCTGATCAAGTGAGTGTGTAGTTACTTTCTTCTAACGCATAATTATGAAGTATTTTATACGAAATACGTGTTATATGTATAATATAAAGTTATTTATATGTGTGAGTGTATAGTCACTTTCATCTTACACATAGATATGAAGTATTTGCTATGAAATACATGCTATGTGTTTATACATTGTTTGTTTACTTGAGATGGATGCTGAATGAATGTTTTATACGAGTTTTTAAATAAGTTGTATATGTAATTTATATCTACAAATATGTTGGGTAGAACATGGGTAGATGAAATAGTTGATGTGTGTTGAAAGAATGTGATAAGAGAAAGGTGAGGATATAATGGTGATGATAATTAGGTGATGATAGATAGGTGATGAATTACGAGTGCAGTCGATGTTGTGGCTACGTATTCATGCGATGATAGTCTATCCCTTATTATGAATTACGAGTCCAGGCGATGTTGTGGCTGCGTATTCATGCGATGATAGTCTAACCCTTATTATGATTTACGAGTCCATGCGATGTTGTGGCTGTGTAATCATGCAATGATACCGCAACCCTTACTAGACATATATTGAAGGAGTGATCCCCGAATTAGCATTGTATATATGATACAGGCGATGATCCTTAGGAAAAGTTCTTAGGAACACGCATATAAGGATATAAGATGTAAGGAGATGAGCGGTAAATATGATATAGGAGATGACCCTTAATATAATATCTTTAGGAAAGATTAAAAGAAGATAATGGGATGGGTAGTTGGGTTGATTCTTTGATGATTGAATATAATAATTATATTATTGTGGGTTGAAAACCCTATATGCTCACCAGGCTCCCAAGCCTGACCCACTCAGTTTAATTGTATCACAGGTATCGATACGAAGCTGCTTTGCACTGAGAGATTAAAGGAGATGTAAATCTTTAGTGTAATTGAATGTAAGTTCTGTTTATGCTTATATGTCTGTATCGGAACATGACATCCCGAGGTTTTATTATTAAATGATTTATACATTCTCTTTGAGAAATGTTTTGATAAGTTATTATCATATCTTGTTTTGGGAACAAATTCCGCAACCGTTTTCTTTAAAATATTACTCTGATTTTATAAAACAAAGCATAAACAAATCGGTTTTTTCTGGCCGTGAAAATGGGGATGTCACAGTACATGGCCGATTAGTGACAACTAACTTATGTTTTTTTAGACTTGTGGTGCCTCTCAACTTATCACATTGTCTAAAACCTTAGCTCATTCAACAGCTATATCCTCTTAAATTGACCTCAAGATTCCCGTCTCTAACCCTTAATCAACTTTCATCAATTCTGATTTCGATACGCTAGAGAAACCATCAGAGAAGCACTTCATTCAATTTATACTAAGTTGGATCACGTGCATATGCATTGTGTTACTTTCATGGACATGTCGCGTCCAGGTGTCTCATCATCAGGCATGCCCAAACGGTGGGCAACTCGAGCGTCGCCCAGGGCTTATGTCCCATCCAGAGATAATCACATGCTTACACATGTCGTGTACCCGACCATGAATCATATGTGTGTGTCGCGCTTACCTTTTCAACTTGTCGTGTCTTTTGCTACATACCCCATTCTCTACCATGTGTCCCATCCTTGCTCCACATGTCCTATTTCATCTAGACATCAAGACGCATCACATCAATACACATACGCATCGCGATCCTCTTCCATCTCACATCCAACTTCAAAGTAGGATGCCTTTCTGCAAAATAGCAACTTACTTTAACATATACCCTAGGACTAGCTTTTTATCTTGCACACTGCACAGTATAGTCAATATTCAAACTTCCGGGTCGTTACATTACTTTTTTTTTTGTGGTCAAATATCCATTGTTGGTTAACATTTGGATAATAAAGAGAAAAGATATCATTTTCCTTATCAATGGAAGCAGTATCTCCGCCCTCAGATAGAGGCTCGATTGCCTACATCTTAAATCTTCCTTGCCTCATTCTTATTGGATTGGTATTGTTGTTTATGTTGTCATTAAGTGATTGAAATAGTTTTTTGGGCGGCCTCCAAACCTTATAATAATTTAGAAAATTGGTGGATAAAATCAAATAAGCTAGTGTATGGTTAAGAAACGGGTATATACTTGTTTTTAAAGATCAAAAGTATATGAAGTTATGGAACAAAACTTGACATTTATATGTGTGTATGGGTACATCAATATAAAGTAACTGATATGAATGGAAGTGTGATATTAATACATAAAGTTGATCATGCATATCTGAAAAAAAAGAGTATGTTATAATTATGAAAATACGTTATAAGTTACATCTTTCTTTTTTCTTTTTTTTCTACATATAACCATTCTTTCTTTTTTCTACAATTGTAGTCCAATCTATGAAAGTCTTTTCCACTTTTGCAATTATTTGGGATCCAAGCAAGTGGCCAGCAGAGAAAAAATAATATTAGTTATGACACTAAATACATTGATAAGAAAACAAAAAGGTGTCTTGCGTATTCTTATGGTCGTGAAATTACCAATTTGTACCAAGTGTTGCTATTGAATTTCAATCCACCACATGGTTAAAAAAATAAATAAATAAAAGGCTCCATACAAATATTCGTCAAAAGCTTGTCTAAGCATACATTTTTTATAATGGTAAAATACACATTACAATACCGATACAAGATCATCTTGTTTTACACTAGATACGCATCATCCAAATCAACCAAATAAAATCAACCAAATAGAGTACCAAAATATAGCATACAATAGTATACATTGAGTGTATTCGGTAAAAATAGCTGGTAGCGGGTAACCAATAGTATTTTGTTAAACGTTACGTGAAGTAACATTTTCACTTGGAACATTTCGTTCAAAACGAAACATTAAAAGCTAGAAGCTCTCAAACGCTCCAACCGAACACGCCAAATGTCATTAAGCCACTAAACATGAAAATAACTTCTAACATGATAAAAAGTGAGCAATAGCATACACAAGATAGATTTTAGAGTTGAATACAAGGGATAACATTTTTTTGTTGATTTCTTTATTATAGCATGATATTTTTATCTCTTCCTATTACAACAACATTGTAGATTAGAACTATACCCAAGTATAGCAATAGCCTACATATACAAAGCTATTACTAACGCTGCAAAACAATATCCTAAAAAAATATCGAAGGGGCATAACAAAACAAACATATCATCTTATGAAATAAATGATCAAAGACAA